AGTTAATTGTAAAGTATCTGTTTGGGATGATGAACTGGCATTAGAGGTAATATATTTTGAATAGAGATTTTCTATATATTGTTAAGCTTTTTGTTGTTTTTCTGTATCGTATAATGAAAGCTTAATGTTTGGATTGAGAGAAGCAATCATAAAGAATAATTGATCCAATTTTTGCCAATACTCGTCAAGTTTAATTGCCATGGCTGTTGCAACAAGTTTTGGTGTGGTTTCTTCGACGGTATTATTGATAATTTCTTCAAGAGATCTTTTAATCGTGGTGAATATTAAATGAAGATCTCCTAAGGTTGGATGACTTGATGATGAGAGCATTAAGGTTGCTTGGTAAACAGGATTAAGGAGATTATAAATTTCCTATATAATTATATTTAAAAAAAATTAAAAAAAAAAATAAAATAATAATAAAAAAAAGAAAAAAAAGTACCTCGATTTCTGACCATTCTAATTTAGTTGGATAATTTGACTTTAATGAATTATTTGATGCAACAAGAATATCAGTCATATCTCTGATTTTTTTAATTTTTCAATCATTAGAAACGTACTATTCCAACGGGTTGGAACATCTAGATCAGATACAAGAAACTTTTTGTTTTTCATTTTAAATATTTCTTTTAATTCTCTAAAAATTGGTTGAGAATTACGTATAGTAGATGCGAAAGTTCTTGCTTTTTTAATAGAAGTATCAACAAGTTTTAATCCTTCTGTGATGATTAAGTTTAAACTATGGGCAGCACAACAAAAATGCTGGAAATCATAATTATTAAATTCTTCTTCAAGGCTTTGTTGTAAGTGATAAGCAAAGATAATTATATTGGCTGCATTATCAGTTGTTGTAGCAATTATTTTTTTTCCAATTCCATAAAAACTAATAATTTCTAATACGGCATTTGAAATATTTAATCTCGTATAATTATCTTTAACAGGTACAAGATCGAGAAGCAATTTTTGTTCACTCCAATTATCATTAATCCAATGAGGCGTTATGGATAAATAATCACTGTTATTGCAAGCAGTCCATAAATTGGTTGTAATAGCAAATTTTCTTATTGTTTTTAAAAATTCTTTTAATAGGCAATCCACCAGTCACCTGGATAAAAAATTTTTTTTTTATATATAAATTTTACTATAAGTGCGAATGCACAGCGCTTCTATCTAAAACTTTTTTTTATACTAAGTAAGTTACTCTTCAGCTTCTAACAAAAGTTGTAGAGCTCATCAAAATGTATTTAATACTGTAAGGATATTAAAATTAGTCTGGTAGTTCTTGAGAAATCTTTAAAAAAACTTTTTTTCACATATAAAATTTCTTTAAAAAAAATTAATTTTTTTTAAAGAAATTTATATGTGAAAAAGAAGTTTTTTAAAGATTTCTCAAGAACTACCAGACTAATTTTAATATCTTTACAGTATTAAATACATTTTGATAAGATCTACAACTTTTGTTAGAAGCTGAAGAGTGATTTACTTAGTATATAAAAAAGTTTTAGATAGAAGCGCTGTGCATTCGCACTTATAGTAAAATTTATATATAAAAAAAAAATTTTTTACCCAGATAACTGGCGGATTGCCTATTAATAATAATTGTTGTTTTTTATAAATTGCTTCGATTTGATTCAATATAGTTTGCCAAGATGGTAATCGATACCATTTATCAAGTTCTTCAATTAATTCAATGAAACTAGGATCTTTAATGACTATGAAAGATTGTTGATTACAAATAATCCACTTTATAAGCAGATAAGTAATACGCTTAACTTTTGATTCATTATCTATTCCATAAGGTTGAATCATTTTGGTTTTTTTAATTTCTAACTCTACTTTATTATAAATATCAGTGTGATATTTTTTGAAATGAGATTTAATTGTGCTAATTCCTGTTGATTTTTGCCATTGTAATGGAGGACTTTGTCCTTTATATGGTATATAGCAAACGTAAAGACCAGATTTACTTGGTTCAAGATATTCACGTAAAGAATGAGGTTTTTTTGCATTTTTTATTTGATAAATTATCGAATAATGATTCTACAGTTAAAGGGTCTACTTTTAATTCTTTTTGCAAAAAATCGCGTATTTCATTATATAAAGAGTCTTCTTGTTCTTCAATAATATTAGTATCATTGTTAATATCGTCCATGATGCAAAAATTTAACATTCGAAAGTAAAAAATTTCTCTTTAAATAAAAAAATCAATTTATTATTTTAAATAGTACTTATTTCTATATAATGGCTTTTGTCTTTCGTGTTCAAATTTATAATCATATGATTAATGTGAGGTTCGAACAATAACCAAATTTTTATAATAAGAAACAATAAACCGTTCAAACAAAACCATTTACTAAATTAAGGATAATAAACTGTTCGAACAAAAACTGTTTGCCAAATTAAGAACATAAACTTTAAATGAAAACTAATTGTTAAATTAAAAACAATAAATTAGTTTAAAAACATCAAACAAAAGCCGTTTGCCAAATTAAGAGCTATAAGCTAGTTTGAAACTTGTACCTTTTCTAATTTAAGTTTGAACTGAAGTTTTGAACAAAAATTGAACTGCAAACTTAATAAGCACAATAAGCAGTCTGGAACTTAAGTTTTTTCGAACCATTTAACATCCCTAACATATCTAACATTCAAGATCAATAAAATAGCAAATATTATCATCATTAAAAATTTGATTTGTAGCAGATTGCTTCTATTTATTTTTAAAATCATTAACCATGAAGGTGTTATTTGCCCCTCACAAATTTGATTATAATGAATAAATTAATCAGGAATAAGATGTGTGCAGATAATCCATACAATATAATTTAACTGTAGTTGGTTAAATCTATTGAGATAACAGTGCTTCACAACTCTTCAATACGATTCTATTATCATCATTAAGAAATTTTTAAATAGGGTGGATATTGATTACTAGCTATAGGGGTGATTGTCATTAATTAGAAAAATCGATAATAATCGATATTGGTTACTAATTGATACACAATTGATGAAAATAATCAATTTTAATTTGTTTTGATGCTAATCGATTTTGAATCAAGCGATACTAATCAATATTAATCGATTTTAATCAGTATCAATCGATTCTAATCTGTATTGCTAGCAATCGACAGGTGTGCTGCTTATCGATTGACATTACCATCTGTCAATCGATTGCCAACCAATTTAAAAATTTCTTGATGATATTAGTTTTACTTACCAAGCTCAAAGTATCTATCTTGTAATTTTATACCAAGCATACTATAAGTATGCCCAAAGATATATAAGATTATTTTTAAAGCAGAAATTGTATATTTTATGAACAGCACTATTATAGATCTCTTTAGGTGTTAAAAGTTGACCAGAAGCATTTATGGGAATTATTGAATACATATTAAAATGTTTTTCAATAATATTAATCATTTCATCATGCAATTCTGGTGGACATCTATTATATAATGCAAGAGTGTGTTATACAAAGAAACAACACTATAAGACAAATGTTATGAGACAAACACTATAAGACAAAAATATAATTTGATTGGCTATTTATAAAAAAAAGATCTTTCATATCTTATTAGAATACTTATCATAAGTCAGTTATGTGCATATACTTAATTTTCGTGCTTGCAACAGCCTAACTCTACTGAATTTTTTTAATAGCTAGAAAGGTGAATGATTATCTCTTTACAAATCACAAATACTAAAAAAAAAACAATGCATCTTGCTATGTATAACCAAGTAGTTCCAAACTATATATAGAATTTTTAAACCCTCTTTTTTTTTTTTTCTTACTTATGTACATAGTTATATATTCGAGTGCTGATCGTCTTTTCTTTTTTTCTGTTCTATTAGGGTACTTACTATAGTTCAGTTATGTGCACGTACTAAGTTTTCGTCCTCTATTTTTATCTCAATACACTTAATAGCTGCACTGGTAAATAATTATCTCAGTACAAAAGACAAACACTGAAAAAACACAACACAGCTTGATATGTTTAAGCAAGTAGTTCAAATATTCATTACAAACTATATATAGAAGTTTTAACACCTCTTTTTTTTTTTTTTTTAATTAGATATAGTTATATATTTGAGTTAACCTCTGAAATAATTACAGATTTGGGATCAACATCGCCTATAGAAAAGATATATTCTCCTAAATTCACAATTCAAACGCCACCTTTACCAACTTTTTCTTCAATCAACTATCAAACATTAAACAACCAATTATGCTAAGCATCAAGAAAATAATTTCAGATTACTATATCAGTGAATTATAATTATAACATCTTTAATATTTATAGTTTTGTTAGAGTTTTATGCTAATGACAAATTTATTTTATATAGGATTATAAAGATAAAATTGGTAATGCATCAATAAGACTACAATTCAACCACTTTGAAACCTGGACAAAAGTACTCAAATACAATTAACTTCAATATAAGGATTAACCTTAACTCAGCTTAATATCAGGTATATTTATAATTGTAATAATCCCGATTTTCTGGTTATATTAATAATAGGATCAATAGAGTACAATAATATATATAATTTGTATTAGGATAATAAAACAATATTTAGAATCTATATACATTCTTTTCAATCGACTATTGAACATTAAACAACCAATTATGCTGAGCGTCAAGAAAATAATTTCAGATTACCATATCGGTAAATTATGATTATAACATCTTTAATATTTATAGTTTTGTCAGAGTTTTATGCTAATGACAAATTTATTTCATATAGGATTAATAAAGATAAAATTAGTGACGCATTAATAAGACTACAATTCAACCAATTTGAAACCTAAACAAAAGTGCTCAAATACAATTAACTTTGATGTAAAGATTAACCTTAATGCAACTTTATATCAGGTATATTTATAATTGTAATAATCCTGATTTTCTGGTCATATTAACAATAGAATCAATAGAGTGCAATGGTATATGTAATTTGCATTAGGATATTAAAACAATATTTAGAATTTATATACACTTTAAAGCTTTTCAAATTTTTAGAACTAAATTTGTGCGGATAAGCAAATTTACAACACCCAATGAAAAATACACTGCACTGAAGATCTAGCTAGCTATATGTAATATAGAATTGTCATGTCATTTCTCCTAATTTTATTCATGAACAAATTTAGCTATGCTAAAGTCTTCCTTTTATCTAGATTGTTTGAATTGTTTTAGAATTGAAATTGAAATGAATGAATGGAATTAGTAGAGTAGTTTAATATAACCAAAATTTTACTGGGAAAGTATAACTGATGTATTGATTGTATAAGTAGTCAACACATTAGTTATACTTTTCCAATAAAATTCTGCTTATATCCAACTGCTCAGAATACAGGCAATTGCTGCGATTGCTTTACAAATAAGGCTTAGTATGCATTGGTATTTAAATATTGATTCTAATGGGTTTCAAAATTTACCAATAAGTAGTGCATTTCAAAAATAAGTAAAGATTTTTTAAATAGCACTTCACTATATTGAATTGGAAGTACCTAAATATAAAATTTTAAATATTTTAATAAAATAAATAAATTTGGGGGTTTTTTTTTTATTTTTTTTATTTTTTTATTATATAATGTCATAGTAGAAACTTTATTACAGTTAGTCCGAAGATTGAAAGTTATCTTATAGTCTACAAATCCAGGTA